GCATATAGAAGTGGCTTGGGTTAGAAAGCTACCTAAACCAATGATCAGTTTATTCCACCTCCCACAGCACCCCCTGCTGACCTGTGGAGTCCTGGAGCTCCAAAAAGAATGATCTGAGACTTCAGATGGGATCCTGTCCATTCAAGACACTTATTGGAAAGCGATGTTGGGCTGATACCCTTAACAGGCTCAGGAGTACTTCAACAACTTAGAGTCTGTGCCAGATTTTCCACATGTAGGAGAGCAGAGTTCTACCTTCCGCCTTACCTGGATGATTGTTCTTGATGGGGAGAGGGAGCTTGGGATTCTCTCCATTTTTGCTTATTTGAAAGTGTCTTGCAAAACCTGCTCTTTTGCAGAAAATCCTGTCACAGACTCCTGCTACTCAGACTTGAGTCTCAGTAGGAGCAAAAGAGGAGTTTTCCTCCTTCCTAAGTTCAGAGGTACTCTAAATGTAGACAGAACAGGTATTATGGGATGACCCTGATCAAATTCTACAGTGGATAGGAAACCTCCAGAAATGCAAGCAAGAGAGCTTCCTCCTCTGACACATGAGCTGCCTCCAATCATGCGCTGGGAAGGATTTGCCATGGAAGTATTTTAATGAAAATCCTCTACCATCACAATGGAATTTAGAGCCTCTAGATGGGAGGGCTTTAGGCTGGTGGTCAGTCTGTGAATGAGAATGGGGTTACCCAAAATGGAGCTATAGGGTGATGGGCTGAGGGGGCCCTGTGAGAAAGAGTGTTATCTTTTTTTTTGAAATTTTATTTATTAACATATATTAATTATACAAATTAGTGGGCTCACTGTGACATTTCCATACATGTATATATTGTGCATTGATCATACCCACTCTCCCTTCTATCCTCTCTGACCTCTTCTCTCTTCCCAGCCCATTTCATAGTCCCTAAGTGTCCCTCTTCTATTTTCAGGCCATTTTTTTTTTGTTTCCACATATGACAGAAAACACACAACCCTTGACTTTCTGAGTTGGGATTATTACACTTAACATAATGCTCTTCAGTTCTGGCCATTTTCCTGCAAATGCCTTCATTAATTCTTTACAGCTGAATAATATTCCACTGTGTGTACATACATCATATTTTCTTTATCCATCCATCTGTTGATGAACTTCTATGCTAATTCCATATCTTGGCTACTGTTAATAGTGCTGCACTAAACACAGAATTCAGGTGTGTCTTTTTTACATGTTGATTTTTTTTTTCATTTGGATATGTACCCAGTAGTGGTACAGCTACATTATATAGTAGTTCTATTTTTAGTTTTTTGAGAAACCTCTATACTATTTTCAATCATGACTGGACTAATTTATATTACCACCAACAGTTTACAAATACTTGTTTTTCTCTACATCCTCAGAAGGTTGCCATCTTGAATATCTCATCTATTCATGAGTAGTTGATAGCCCAGATCAATGCCTGCCACTACCTCTGCTCCACATATTTCTTTTCAGTTTCCCTTCCTGTTGAGAGCACCTGTAGCAGAATTCGGGAACCCCACAATTACAAAAGAGGCTGATTTGTGGCATTGTCAGAGATTTCACTGATGTTTTGGGTCATTTCGAGATCTACTTTGCTTAGGACCAAGTCAGCTGTGGTAAAGTTTGCTTTCTTCCTCACCATTGGCTTTAGTGTCTTGGTTGCAGTTTGCTTTTTAAGCAAGGAAAAGGGGAAATAAGGAGTCTTGTATTAGCAACTAAATGTTGCAGTTGGAAAAGGCATACCTCACATGTACTTGCTAGAACTAATACATTAGATATAACTAATCACATAGCCAAACTCAACTATAATGAGCCAGGGATTTCAATTTGCTGTGCACGGAAGAGTGAACCACATATCACTGATGACAACCATGTATCACAAGGTGTAGTTTCCTTATTTAGTCCACAAATTCAAATGCCAGTCTCTTTGGGAAACACCCTCATATACACACCCAGAAATAATGCTTTACAAGCTATCAGGGTATCCCTTATCCAGTCAGTTTAACAGCAAAAATTAACCATCATAGGCAGTATATTCTATTCTCTTAGCTTGTCCCTGAGTGGTTACAATGAGCAGAAGCACCTGTGATAAACTGCATTGAATGCACAGTTTCAGAAAGGAACACATATTTTTGTTAAGTCACTGAGATTTTGGGATTGTTACCACACAGGCACCTAAACTCTCCTGATTGATTAACCAATACTAAATTCCATGTAGTTAGCCATTGTCTGATGGTATAATTGGACAGAGTCCTTTCTATTCATTGGAGAGGAGGGTTAGGGTTAGGGTTAGGGTTAGGGCTAGGGTTAGGCTGGGGGTCTCACTTCCCTTACCAAAGGATTCACATATTACACTATGGAGAAATGTCAAGATGGGAACTCTCCCTGGTCCCTGGCATACCAAACTAGGGTTACAGGAGGAGTTCTTTGATTAGGTAAGGAAATTATGCTATAGAGGTAGACCACTATCAGTGATACAGAGGGATGTAGTTGCTGTCATTCTCATCTGCATTTGTGCAGAGGCCATGCTTCCTTCTGTATTGTTCCCATCCAGTGACTGAAAGTAGCATGGATGATAGTGCCAGCCTGTTTCAGTCTGAGTAGGACTGGAGGACACAAGTAACTGCATGAGCAGAGAGCTTGGACCCCCATACCCCTCATCACAGTTGCACTGGTGCCTCTTCCCCACCTTGCACCCATGGAGGGGGATTTCTTTTTATGAATAGCTGAAGGAAAGTTTACAGATGGGCTCATTAATTCTTTGTGTAGAAGCTGAGAATGGATGGTGTGCATCTCAGACACCTGGATGGTCTTGAAAGAGTGACAAAGGAAAGTCTGTAAAGGGTGCAGCTTTGAGCAGTGCACCTATGCCTCGGGTCAGGGGCCAGGAAAGGAGAGGACTACAATAGTCACCCAAATGAACAGTGTCTTATCCAAGGACACACAGAGTATGCCATACAGAATAGGATGTGTGGGGGTTAGGGGTCTGCCATCTACTAGTACCAACAAACATTTAAACATCTTCTCCCCTGAGATATTAAAGGGAAACTGAAAGAAGTTGACGTGTTTCTGCTTCCTTTATTCCTCCTTGACAAAATAGTCTCAGAAGGTAACATTTCCTTAGTTTCTTTTTCTCTAGCCCTTTTTAATTTTTGCAGCCAGACTTTTGGTCTATACCCTTTGTGGACAGAGATTAAAACAAAAACAATAAGAAAGTGCAAGAGGATAAATATACAGAAAGAAATTAAGAATTCTAGCGTTAAGAATGCAGGACTAGATTCTGTTGCAGCAAATCATATTGTGGCTGTCAGAAGAGTTCATGTTCAAATTCTTTGGCTTCCTGTGCAGAGCACCAGACAGACTACTGGGCAGAAACTCTCAGGGCAAAGAGGTGTCTTATTCCCCCATTACTTTTAACTATATGGTACAAAATATTCTCAAAGTTATTAAGAAATAAAACAAACTTATAACTGTATACTTTATTGATTTCTGCCCTCTCTCACTCTTTGAGATTCTGGTTGAGACCTGAATTGAGAAAGCATTATCATGACAATATCATGGGGTCCCCAGGAGGATCTTTCAGGACTTGAAAGAAGTTGGGTAAAGATGGGAGGCTGGCAAGACAGTCCTTGCTGAAAGCCTGGGAAGTTGTGGTAAGGGCTCCTTCATACTGAGAGTAGTGAAGCTGATGGTATCAGGCTCACTCAAGGGCTATAAGCTCTATCTGAGGTACTGGGCCACCTTCAGAAGCTGGCCTTTTGGCAAGAGCTTTGCCAGCAGAACAGTATGTGGCAGCTCATCATAAGCTGAGTCCCCGCCATGAACATCTCCTCCTTCCCTGGATATCTGTGACCTCTATGGCATGGAAGCTTTTTTCAGCAAAAAGGCTGCCAGGCATCTCAGACAGTCACAGTGGAATCTGTGGGAAGATCATGCAGAGCTGACCATATCACAAAAGCTCACCAGCAAAGGCTGCCAGTAACAATGTGTATCAACAGGGTTCTTTACAGATAATAAGGCCTTGGGTTGAGCATTAGTGAACACGGAGAGTTGGGAGCTTGGATCGCATGAAGGAGAGTCAGGAGGACAGGAGTACAAGGCATGTTGCCAAGGGCTGCTGAAAGTTAGAAGCCCAGAGAAGATCTACCCAAGAAACTCTTTTATCCTGTAGGTTCCACCTTGGAGCTGCAGGCAGACCAAAAGAGCAGTCTGTTTGGGTTAAGCATGCATAGCCCTCCAGGCCTGCTTTGGCCACCATAGAACCACAGAAAAGATCAGTGGGTTAGGGTCCCTGTTGCAAATATAAGGGTTTCCTCAAAAGGTCCTTGAAGAGTCACTGAAAAACGTGGTCCATGACGAGTACCCTTGGCCCTATCAGTAGAATGTTTTAATGTGACCTGGCAACCATGTTAGACTTCAGCATGCCCTCTTCCCACCCACATAGGGCTTTCTCTTCTCTATTCTGCACAACCACATTGGCAAAAGATATTTTAAGAAACAGTTTTGTTCTTTATAAAGACTACTTTTCCTGTTTCTCCCCACTAAATTGAACAAGAATGGCCCTTTTGGCACCATGATGGCTTGCTGGCTTAATTTTTTTCTTGTTTTAAATGGTTAAGGGCTATGTGGGCTGGGGTTGTAGCTCAGGGCTAGAGTGCTCACCTAGTATATATGAGGCACTGGGTTCGATCCTCAGCACCATATAAAAAACTAGACAAATAAAGGCACAGTGTCCATCTACAGTTATAAAAAATAAAAAAAGAAGGGCTTTGTGCCAAGGTGTTAGTTAAATCAACTGTAATGTTGCTGACTCTCCTGCACTTGAAAATCTTGGCTTCAAATGTCCTAGGTTATGAGGTGGTGCATATGCAGAGCTGTAGGAAGGCCATGGTGAACCATGAAAACCAGAGGCTTTCAGACCCAGAGAGACATCTTGGGCAGTCCCTCCCAATCCAAACAGAGAGAAAACACAATGGCCCATCAGGATATTTGCTTTTGTAGACCTTTATTTTTCTTTATTTGCTATTTACAAATTTTTTTCCATTATATTTTTCACAAGTATAATTTTATGCTTTTCTGTGTTTTACTTTCTTAAAGTCAGGACTGGTCAAGGTCATGGGAAAATGTACATTTAATTAGGACAAAGAAGGCTCCCACTCATCTTAAGAGGCTCTGCTTCTCTGTGCCCTTTTGTGGGTCAGGTAATCCAGGACACCTTGGTCATAGTCTTGCTCTTCTTTTCTTGGTTTTTACTGTCTGAAGACCTGGTATGTACAATTTTACTGTAGTTCATACTTCCAGCATGTCACTGACTTGGCTGCCTTCAGCAGAATCCCCTGACTGCCTGGTGTCAGACAGGAGAGCTGGTTGCATTAAATTCTGGCACCTTAAGCCTTGCTGATGACAACTGACCCTGGGGATGCAGCCTGGCAAAATGGTGGGTGCAAAGTCTCAAACAAATGGAGTCCATAGAGGTGACCCTGACCGTTTGGGAGTATTTCTTAATTTAAGTATTCAGGAAAATACTTTAACACCCTTCCCTCCCCCCTGAAAACCCAACACTGATAATATAGATTTCATATTGATCACAGGACATTATACAACAAACACACACTGTACTTTCAGTACGACAAGTCACAATTTCCTTTGATGCTGGGCTTTGAGTAGATATGAAGTTACTGCACATCACCACAGCAGGGTATCATGCAGGGGAGAACTTAGTGGATGCATTCAGTAGTTAATAGCTCAAAGGGTTAGCTGTTGTATATACAGACTGAGCAAACCTCATTAGGAATGAGCATAGTCTCAGCAAAATTCAGCTCTGAATATGCAAAGATTTTGCAGCCTTGCTATTAACCAGATGACAAGAATTAGAAGAATACTTGGACAAGCTCCACTAAGACCCAAGAGATTGTCTGTTACCTCTGCAAAGGCACCCCACAGTGGCAGATGGGATGGGCATAAAACTTGGTAGGAAACATGTCAGAGATCCCCACGATAAAACAATTTGGAAAAACAGACAGGGGCGTCCTTCCTGAGGGAGGGATTCTATGGGGAAAGTCGAGGAGAGGGAAAAAAAGGAAAGGTGAGCAGAGGAAAAAGTGGGGTTGTTCCATCTCACACTCAGCAAGACCCTTCCCTCTGCCTAAGCTCCAAACTACCAAGGGCCCTTTGATTAGCTGAACTCTGGGAGCATGCAGCCAGATGATGTGCAATTCTAGAGCTACTTGGTATAGGGAGACATTTGGGAGGGGACATTGGCAGCCAACTGGAGGGGTGTGCCTGCACATCAGGGAAGAGGGTGGGGGTGGATGAGGATGGGGCTCAATAAGGACGCTGACCACAGACCACACACAGAACATGTCAAGGGGAGATCTGGCAATTTGCAGGATAATTTTGCTGGCAATTGGATCAAAACCATGGTAATCTCTGAAAGTTCAAGTTCCTGAAACTGTGTCATTGCCAAATCTCCACCTCACCTTGACATTTAACCTCACGGAGTATGAGGAGCAGGAGAGTTCAACTGCTCTCATTGCAGCACACTAGGGCAAGATATTCTCTTTAAGGTCTAATATATCTAGTATGTGGGTATTTACAACTGGCCTCTTTGTCCTTCCTCTGTGCTGTGAAGTCTTCCTATGCATTGCTGTGTCTTATTTTTCCCCCCTGTTCTGACTTCCCTTTATGACTTCACCTCAATGAACTACTTCCCCTCCACAGGGTTCGAATCCCCTCCAGGAGACCGAATCCAAGTCAAGCAACCAATGTTTAGGCTCCAGGAAGCTAGTGTTCCAATAACCATGTGAGGTCATCGCTCTCCCTTCAATCTGGATCTCTCTGTGTGGGATGTTCAAAAATAGGCAATCTTAGATATCCTGTGACTACTTTCTTTTCTCTAAACCATGCCCTTATAGCACCAAGCAAAATGCTCAGCACTTAGCTTATCCCACAAATTGAGCACTACCTACCTCAAGGCACTATATTACCACTTCTTAGGACTACATGTGCTTCCCCTGGGCCTTCAATCCAGAACACAGCACAGATGCAGGGAAAGAGGAGTAAGGAATGGATGGGAACCAGGAGAACCTGCTCTCTGGAACAGGGGGATTAGAAAGAAACAGTTAACCAGCTCATCCAATGTGGGAACAGGCCATGGGAGTTCTGGTGGTTCTAGAAAATCCACTAAAAAGAAATGCATACCCTTTCAAGCATACATTCTTTCCTGCCCATTCAAATCAAATAAACATAAGTAAGCAGACACACACAAAGAAATACCTACACAGAAGCAGTTAAAAGGGGGTGGGTGGGTGGAGAGGTGAGGGGCTGCAGGAGAGGCTGCCTAGAGAGCAAGAGGGGACAGGGATTGAGTGCTTGGCAAAGCTCACTCTCTCATGCCCTTCATCAAGGTGGTGCTGCTTGGCAAGTTCACATACAGGCTGGGTGGGAAGGCCCACACTCTCCATCTGCTGGGTTCTCTCTTATTGGCTGGTCAGTAGCCTCTTCCTGCTGAGGTGCTTCAGTGCTGTAGAACGTGGTTGGCAGTCTGATAGATAAGCAGACTCTGCTGGAGGACCCCCTTTTGCAAGGGGGAGGGAAAGAAAAGGTACTCTTCAGTTCAGAGTAGCGTAAAGTTGAAGAGCTAGTGTCCTCAAGCATGGCACATAAGCTCCACGTTTTTCTTGGAACACTGGGGACAAAGTGCTTGACTTTCTCTTGCTCACAGGGCTCCTGTGAGGGTCCAACAGCGTGAAGGGTCAGTGAGCTTGTTGACACTTACCATGCACTAAACAAATAGAAAGGATTAGTATAGAGATTCACAATAGTTGTTCATCTGCTACTCCAGATCAGAGGTGAAATAGCCAGTCGGAACTTTCTAGTCCAGTGCTTATTCACCAAGCAATGGCCCAGTGACTAGTGTCCAACTAGTGTCCAACTCAGTGATTGATAGAAAGCTAACTGCTGACTAGAAAGAAGTTATCAAGTTCCCATTGTCAAGCTTTCCGAAGTAGAAACATAGGCAAAGGAAGTTCCAATCCCTCCAAAGGGGCCGGCTTAACCTGGGCATTCTCCAACCTGACATGACCCCCTGCCATTTCCTCACTTACCTCCCCATACTCCTTTGTACCTCCTCATTTTCTTCCCAACCCTGTGCCACAACATCAATGAAATCATGGGCAAAAGGCACTTCCAAATCCTCCCCAACTTTCTTACAGCCAGTTGCCTGCAGTTTCAAGCTGTGGCTAGCTCTTCCCCTGCATACCTCGGCCCAACCCAGCTTCACTTTCTCCCAAAGTCCTAAGCAGAGGGTGAGCAAGGTCCATGACCCCCAGGAGGAAAAACAAAGAAGAAAAAAGGAAATGAAAAAGAAAAATTGACACCTAACGGGGACAGTAAAGCCATCAGAAATGTTTGTGGGTAGCACTCAGATCCTTCCTTTCTTTTCCAACTCCTCCTTCTTTCCTTCTCGCCAGAATGGGTTCTTTCCATCTACTTGCCACCTCACAATGATAAAGAGAAGTGTTCAACTGATTAGACTGCAGAATAACCACCAAATCAAATGAATAAAGGAAAAAGGGAAAAACAAAATCAAAACAAAACTGTGAAGGGAGCACAGCATAGTGGCTCTGCTGCTCGGGGCCCTGGGAACTAGTAGATATGGTACAGCCAGTAAACTACGTTGAACAGGCCAAAGGAAAGAGGGAAGAGGAATCGGGACCACTTGTCAATCTTGGGGACACGGCTAGGGCTAAAGACGTAGAAAGAGAACCCTTCATTGAAAGAGCACCCAGGGCTTGGTGGGCAACTATCCTCAGACTCTGAGCTACTATCATTCTCTTGGTCACCGGCCATGAGCTCCTCATCATCAAGGCTCCAGATACTGTGAGTATCACTCCTGCGTTGGTCTTCCAGGTCAAGGCTTCGGCTCTCGACATTGATGTCATCATGGAAGCTCTGGATCTCATCAAGGTCCCAGCCTCCTTCTAGCACACAGCTCTGGCCACGGTACATCATGCGTTTCCTACTGGGGCCATGGCCATGGTTCTCATCCAAACTCAGGTCATCTTCGGAGTCTTCATCGTCATAGGTCTTAGCATGGTCAAGGGCCTCAGCACGGTTTCGGATTTCAGTAGGAGTAATAGTATCATCACTGCGGAAACCATTAAAATGGACACCATAGCCATGAAGGGCCTGCTGGGAGGTGGAGGGGAGATCACTCAGGCTTTCTCCAGTGGCCAACTGGGCTCGGCCTGAGAGGGAAGACAGTGGACTGAGGCTTTCCGGGATGGCCAGCTGGGCCCGCTCTGAGGTGGATGCCAAAGAGCCGAGGCTTTCCGGGCTCGCCAGGGGGGCCTGTGCTGGGCTGGTGGGAAGAGAGCCGAATCCGTCTTCCACGTTAATCAGGCCATCCTTTGAGGAGATAATGGATAGGCTCATCAGTTTCATGTCACCTAGGTGGATATGTACTAGGGGAGGGAAAAGGGAAGGGGCTTTCCTCATCAGTACTTGTAATGTTACTGTAGATAGAGCCATCTCCTCTTGGGGTCTCTGGAGCTCAAGGGGCTGAGGAACAGGACCAAGAGGCTGTTAGCATGCAAGGGAAGGTCATGGCGGCGACTAAACCGCTTTCTCCCTGGGGCAGGTAGTCCCTCAGGAGCGCTGTGTGCTGGATGGTGGCCACTCAAGCAGACAGGCCTGGGCCCCCTGTGAAGGAGGGAAGTTGCTGGACATTGACATACTGCCCGAAGCAAAAGCCTCAGCATGGCCTTGGGAGTCTGAAGTGTCAAGGAAGGTGGGGTAGGCAGGCCAGCCCTTCTGGTGTCTGTCTTCCTTTCAGCCTGACTGTGTTCACCTTCCCTCTGGCTTCATCACCTGCCCCAGAAACATGCAAAGTGGACCAAATTTAGCCCAAAGACTTGGAGAAATCTAGCTCTGCCACTTCTTGCCTTGTGCTGTTGGACAATGATCATCTATAAAGGGGTGATGATAATTAGTTCTACTTTGTTATCTGTAGTGGCTGTGTGCTGTGTATATGTGTTGTACATGTGCATTGTACGTGTGTGCATAATGATTAAAAGTACTAAGAAACAAGGAATGGGCAAGTACTAAGCCTGGGCTCAAGAGGTGCTCAGGGAAAGCCGATTGTCAGTCAAAAAGTCAAACCTGCACATTTCCCACCACTACTTCCTGGTAGTGGTAGCGGGCTAGGACTCTTCTGGGTCTCCTGTATCGCCTACGGTGGCGCCGAGGTCCTTGGCTGAAGAAAAGGTAGTTGATGTAGACATACTCCATCAAGGACAGGAACACGAAGAACAAGCACACAAGGATGTAGATGTCAATGGCCTTGATATAGGAAATGTGGGGGAGTCTATCCCGCATATGTGAGTCGATGGTGGTCAGGACAAGAATTGAAGTCAGGCCTATAAACAACACAGCACAGGTTTAGTCTCCTTTGAAGTTCTTGGCAAGCCATTGCACCTATATCCCATAGGATGGGAGCAAACACTATGTTTGGGGTAGTGTCTTTACCCATGTGCCCTGCTTGTTTCTTCTCCCCCATTTTTAAGCTCAGCATATGCTTCACTGTGATTTATAACTCTGCCTCCACCTTGCCTTATTTGCCTTCCAGTACTCAGGACTTCCTGTAGTATTTGGAGAAGTTTTGTAAAACCTAAAACATTTAAAGGTTTAGCCCAGAATGTGCTTCTAAAGAAAGAGGCTATCCAAAAGATGGTGAAGACAAACCAGGGAGCTAATCTCCTTATTCAAAATGTTTTCATGGCTCCCCATGCTGCAACATGAACCTCAAAATCTTCCCGAGTATTTCCAGGCTCTCTTTTGGCTGCTTTCCTCGTCTTTCCAGGTTTTGTCCCAGGCATCTTGCAATATAATCCACTTTTAAGGTATATCTGCCTTTAACCAGTCATTTACTTTTTGGGGAATGTCAAATCTTAAATCTGTGCCTTAAAGCCTACTTCAGATGAGATTGGGTGCATTCAGGGTGGTATGGCCATAGACTTAAAACCTACTTCAAAAAACTCTTTTGTGGTATAGTTAATTTCAGCCAGCAAAACCTGGGTCACTTCCTTTTCTGGACTCTGAGAGCTTGTATCTCCACATTCCACTAGACACTTGTCAAGGGCATTCCTCTAGAAGCCCTCTGCTGCAGAGTAGAATGTTTTGATATATTGCTTAATCAAATGTTTATTACACATGTCTTATCTAAATGTATTACTTGTCTACCTTTTCCTGATTTAACAAATATAGTCACATATTCAATAATTAATGAATCCTGGTACTTTGAGCCTAACATGCCAAGACTATCTCTGATGTTTTTTTTTTTTTCATTTATTTATTTATTTATTAACTAGACTAATTATTTAAAGAGAAACTCTTGCTAATCAGCTATTTGGCTATCCTCACAGTTTGTATAGAATGGCCAGAAAAATGTCTTGATTCTTCCTTCCCTTTACCAATTTTCTTTTTTAAAATTTTATTTATTTATTTTTTGATTCTTTTTTTATTATTAGTTGTTCAAAACATTACAAAGCTCTTGACATATCATATTTCATACATTTGATTCAAGCAGATTATGAACTCCCATTTTTACCCCGTATGCAGATTGCAGATTCACATCGGTTCCACATCCACTTTTTTACATACTGCCATACTAGTGTCTGTTGTATTCTGCTGCCTTTCCTATCCTCTACTATCCCCCATCCCCTCCCCTCCCCTCCCCTCCCCTCCCATCTTCTCTCTCTACCCCATCTACTGTAATTCATTTGTCCCCCTTGTATTATTTTTCCCTTTCCCCTCACTTCCTCTTGTATGTACTTTTGTATAACTCTGAGGGTCTCCCTCCATTACCATGCAATTTCCCTTCTCTCTCCCTTTCCCTCCCACCTCTCGTCCCTGTTTAATGTTAATCTTTTTCTCATGCTCTTCCTCCCTGCTCTGTTCTTAGTTGCTCTCCTTATATCAAAGAAGACACTTGGCATTTGTTTTTTAGGGATTGGCTAGCTTCACTTAGCATAATCTGCTCTAGTGCCATCCATTTCCCTGCAAATGCCATGATTTTGTCATGTTTTTTTTAATCCACGTTTCCAATGTCAGTCTGTCCATTGAGGACTGGATGAGCACCTCTACAACGCATATTAGAAAAATTCCCGTTTCCTTGTCTACACAGCATACACATGGTTCCCTTCCTTACTTTGATTTTTTTTTCTAAGAAAGATGACTCAAGTTTCTCCTTGGGATGGAGACAGGACTTACCAATTGTCACCCTGGCTGCAGAGGAATCATAGTTCATCCAAAATGATATCCAAGAGAGGATGGTGGTGAGGACAGTGGGCCAATAAACCTGTACAAGGTAGCTGCTGAATTCCCTCTGAACCTGGAACTTTAGTATCAGGCGCATGTAGGAACCTGGAAGGAGACACCCTAGTAATCAGACCCATATGACATAGAAATTGCTCTCCCTCCTTTCTTCCTTACTTCCTTGATCCATGTTGGCTGAAGTTTGGGAATGGAAGAGATATGCTGCAAACATGGAGGCTGAACAGCCCTGAAGGGAGCACAAATCCTTTTCATATGCAGAGGTAAGCTATGGGGACTTCATCAAGGCAGGATGGAATGTGTCAAGAATGAGGGAAACAGAAAGGAGGCAGAAGTCCTCAAGATTTTATAGGGGTGTGAAGGGCCCAAAAAAGAGAGAAGGAAGGGCAGATCCACCTGTGTAGAAGTACACCTCCTTGCTAGTAATCGTCCTTCCCAAGAAAGAAAACTGAGGGATATGCAGCTCCTCAGTCATGTGGATGGCATTTTCATTGTCTTCCCAGGATAAGACAACATCTTCAACCGTGTAGCCATCTGGGGAGCGGAGAGAAACATAGTCTCAGAAAATAGGCACAGGCAGATTTCATGCCAGAGCAGTCTGTGAAAACCAGAGTGTGTATAAAATTTGCAATCTTGGGGGATTGTTTATGGTTTGCCCAGTTTGTGCATGGGTGAAAAAGTCTGAACACTTGGAAAAAGAACTTTCACTTTGGAGTTTCTTTGCCAGGAAGGAAAAGTATAGCAAAAAGATGGTATGAGCTCGTACCCCCAGACTTCAACATAATTCCCCAATAGAACTAAATAAACTCTAAAGGTCACCTGTTCCCAGATGCCATATATATACAGCTATGTATCAATTATGTAACTAGTATCTTTTTATCTTTCCTTCTTTTTTCTTTCCTTCCATCATTTATCTGTTGATCATCTACATATTTAGGAGAGAGAAGGGGAGGGGGGAGTTAAGGATACATGTTGTCCCTCTCACTGTCAATTCTGCCTGTGGTTTTCTGACTACCACAGGTCAGGGGGAAGAAAAGTGTCCAGGAGAAATACATACAGCTCTCCACCTCCAGCTTGCAGGCCTGCTTGTCTAGAGGGTATTTGTGCAGATCCAGGGAACAGGCTGCTGTGGTGGTGAGTCTGCCAAGGAAAACAAGAAGGAAGGAAAAAGTGAGTCAAGCCCCAGCAAGCAACCATTCCTGAGGACACTGCAGGAGTTACCCAAGGATTGACCTATGTGTAGGGAAGAGACAGAGAGAGAGAGAGAATTGGAGTGTGACAAAGACTGAGAGATCCGCAGCACTGCAACAAAGAACAGATGTCAGAAAATCGTAGGATGCCAGAATGGGAAGGGCCCTTGAGACAAAGGAAAGTATGCTTGCTAAAGAAGCAGTGAGGCTGTTTCGAGAAAACTGTGTGCTGTGTAGATGCTTCCAAGGCTGTGTACCTGCTGTGGAGGACAGGTATGTAGTGTGCACTATGGATGTGAGCAGCAACCCAAGCCCTCTTCTATGCACACCCATGCACATGCCAGAGGTGTGGACCCATGTGGTACTAGCAAAATGCTAGAAACTCTCTACTACCTCAGCTGGGAGGCTCCATCCTACCCCTTGTCCTGCCCCTCCCCTCTGCTAATCCAGTCTAGTCACTGTCAATCCTTGAAGCAATTACCATTTTGTGTACAGGGTAGCCAAGGCTCTCTGTAGGAAACTTTGAAAGTGGGGGAGAGGCAGTGCCAGGCAGATTTGAAAAGCAAGGAGCTCCTGTGTGTGTCCTTTAGAATGTATTTGTGGGGTAAACATCAGGAAGAAGGGAGCCTGCTGCAACTTCCCTAGGCCCCTGCGGGGACTCACCTGATGCCATACTGCACTGTTCCATCAGGGTGAAGCTGAAATACACGATTTTCTACAGTTACATCATGTACAAAAGCATCCTTGCTATTCACAAAGTAGCAGTCAGGGACCCACAACTTTTCATGCATCCGATAGTCCAGAGTCAAATTCAGGTTGGTCTCATAGTATGCTAAGCGAGAATCCTTCCAGGTCTGATGAAAAATCATTGTGATTGTGTAGTCCTGGGGAAAGAAAAGTATATCCCAGTTGAGAACAAGATTGCCCAGCTCTCTATGCTCTGTGTGCACACACACACACATGTGTATGCAAGTGTATGAAACATGATGAATATAGATGAGAACACAAAACATATGCATATTTAAGAAAAGAATAATAAAACGAAGCTTCTGGAATTAAAATCCAGTTTAAAAAACAGAACATTATCAATAACTTTCAAGTTATAATGTGTCCCTTTAGGAAAAACATTTTCCATAGCCCCCAGCAGTAACCATTAATTTAGATTTTGTGCAAAATTTCTTGCTTTGGCTTAGAATTTTATTGTTTATATATGTATTCCTAGAAAACATAATGCTTAGCTGGACCCAATTTTTGTATTTTACCCAAATGGAGTCATGCTGTGTGTTATTTGTAATTTATTTATTTTCCTCAGTACTTCATTTGTGAGATCTGTTCAGGCTGATGTGTGTAATTATAATTTGCTCACTTGCTCTCCTGGATAATATTCCCATATGTGAATACAGCAACCATATAACTATGCAAAAGTGCCAAACACACCAATGATGTACTCACCAGATTAGTAACAATGCCACTGTCAGCAGCATTAGAAACCACTGTGATTTCATTGTACACTTTACTAACACTGTTGAGTGTCTTTTCATGGTTATTAGATATTTAGTTTTCTTTAAAAAAGTGAAATTCCTGCTCACACTTTCTAATCATTTAAAAATTTTATTTATTTTTTAATTTATTCTTTTCAGATACACATGGCAGTTATATTGGTTTAAATATGTTCTTATTAATTCACAGGAATTATGTGTATTTTGGGTATCAGTGCTTGGTGTTATAAATATAGTCTATACTGACTTACCCTTTGACACTTGTTATAGTTGTTTTGTTTTGCAAAACCAAAGTTCCAGGGGTTTTGGCTAGAGAAAATTTCACCAATAATTGAATGACCACTATTTATGCTTACTATGTGTGCTTTTAAAAGAAATCTTTATCCCAAGACACAAAGATAGTGTGTCCTATATGATCTCTTAAAAGCTTCATAAGCCTTTTCTTTTGTGTCTATAATCCATTTGGAACTGAATTTTTGAATATGATATGATAGAAGAGTTCAATTGATTCATGTTTTATTCCAAGGGGCTGCAGTTTCCCAAACCTACCTTGAGTTCTGTCACAGGTCAGAACAACCACAGTTTGCTTAAAAGAAGTCCCTGCTCCTTGTCCCTGTCCCCAATGCAGTGGCTGGAATTGACACTTACCATATTTGTTTCTGAGATCTGTTCAATGCTGGAGACATAGATAGATATTTTCACAGGCACAGGGGCACCTATAGTACAGGAAGACACTATTACATGAAGGTTGGGATAAATGTGAAGATCATAGATTCAGGAGCCAGACTACCCAGGTTTGAATCTACTTTGATGTTTGTTAGCTGTGTGCCCTTGAGTAAGTCACCTACCCTCTCTAAGTCTTAGTTTCCTCATGGGTAAAATAGGGGCAATGATAACAATAATCTCATAGTTAATGCAGGTCAAGCACTAAGAGCAAGGCCTGGTCCATGATAATCTGGAAAGAAGCGGTCAGAGAAATGAAATATTCATTTTCTAATAAAAATTGAAAATCAATAATCACAAAAATAAGAGCCAGCATTCCTGGATAGGTGTAAGTATAATTGAATTTGTGAGTATATTTGTGTGCAGGTATGTGTCAGTGTGTGAGCATGTCTGCATGAGTGAATGTGTGAGCATGTTTCTGTGCTTCAGTGGATTGTGCAGGAGTTTTACTTATACAACATGTAAGTGTATAAACTGTTGGTTTGTGGGAGGAAATATAGGACTGTGAGCATATTTGTATGTGAGTGAGTGTGTGGGCATGTGTGTGTTTGCATTTTTATGGAAGGGAATAAGTGAGCATGTCTGTGTGTATATGTTTGTGTGGTGGTGTGAGTGTGTTTGTGGGCTAGTGAATGTGTAAGCATGTGCATGTATCTGAGCATATGTGTGGTGTAGAGAAGACAGTTAAGTGCCTCTATGAGTCTACTTATCTGTTAGTGGCTTTTTAAGAATGTCTGTGTGTAAGTGAATGTGTGAACATGTTTATGTGTGTGAACTGGTTGTGTTGACATGAATGCATGTAAGCCTGTTGGTGTGCTGTATGATGTGTTCATGTGAATGGCTGAATATGGTAACATGCTCATGTGAGTGAATGGAAGAGCCTGTGTGTAAGTATCTTAACATGCATGCCAGCATGTCCATTTGTGCATGTGCATGTGTATATGTGGGCATGTATGTGTGTGTGTGTGTTCATGTGAGTACACCTGAGTATGGTCCTGGATGTGGGTGTATTTGTGAGTGTGTGAACATCTCTATGTGTGTGGGAGTGTTTGTGTGTGAGAATGTTAATGCATATGAATAGATTTGCTAGTGTGTTTAGGTATGTGGGAGTGCTTGTGAGTGAATGTGTGATTGTGTTCATGTGTGTAAATTTTTAAGTGTATTCTTACAACTCAGCATATTTGTAAGTTAGCAAATGTGTATATTTGCACATTTCACTGAATTTCGAATATTCTGTATATGTGTATAGGTGTTATTCTTCATTAATATGTGTAAGTGAGTAAATATGCGTATATGTTTGAATGTGTAAGCATGTGCGTGTGTTAGAGATTGTGCCTGGGTATGATTGAATTTATATGTCTGTGCATGCAGGCATGTTTATGTCTGATTGTGTGTACATATGAACACGTTTCTATGTATTAGTGTGCATATTCATGGTGTGTGATCATGTTTGTATATGAGTAAATATGTATTTTCATGTGTGTATGTATGCATGCATGGGCATGTTTGTGTGTTAACATATAATTGAGTGTATGCTCCTCCTTCTGTGAGTGCTTCTATGTGCGTGGGTGAATTCATGACTGTTCATGTTACTGTGTGTGTGTATGGATTACTGTGTGTGTTAATGTACAAGTGTGACTTTGTGAATTAGTGTCAGTTTTTGTCTTCCTCCTTGATTTGTTTTCAGGTTTGGGTGTTAGCATAGTCCACTATAAGGAGTCAAATATGATCATGGATATGAAAATATGTAGTAAACTGTCAGGCACTGTGGACAGATACATTTTTATTATACCCTAATCGGCTCAAAGCTGTCTACACCAGCCCTATAGCAAAGCCATTATTCTCTGTGTATGACATCACACTGCTGCTAGGGAAACACGCATGATGCTTGCAATTTAGCCTGCTGTTTTCACTGCAGGCTGACTGCCCAGAAGCTGAGCTGCAAAGAGGGAAATGTGTTATTCCAAGCCTGATGCTTCAAAGAGCAAAGTGCTACTGGGAATAAGCGTATGAATGGCAGCTGAGAAGTAAATGGGCTTCTGTGTTAGGGCACAGCCCAGACTCCAGCATTCAGGTCTATTGTGAACAAGCCCCAGGAAAGTGCTGTGTAGTGACATGGGTTTCTAGAAACACAGTTATTGATTGCTGCCTTTCAGGCCCTCTGCGTGCCTTCAGAGGTCGGAAGCTGTGTTAGGCAGGCTCTGTTCTCCAGTGTCAGATTTTCTCTAGACAGTTCCATACCAGTCAGGCAATTCCTTCCCTTGTGGTAGAATGCTGCAGACCTAAAGGGCTAGGGCAGAAACCTGCTCAAAGGCTCCAGCTGAAGGGGGCAAGTTTACACTCCCTTCACCACACCATGATCTGTAGTACAGGGATGCAAACTAGAGGAAGGGGACATTTTTCTGATTTATCCATAAGTGGGCCATCTTATGTGCTAGGATAATAAAGAGGAATGAGAAACATCCCAATAAGGAGTCTCAATGCCATCTCTAGGGTAATGACCTCAACCTTAAACCCTGTTACTGTCCTCCCCCTCTTTATTTTCCTCTTCTCACTACTTCCCCAAAAGAAAGTCATAAGGCCCCTTTTTGACTTGGACCAAAATTAGGTGAGACCCTTGTGTGAGCACATGTGTGTGAGCATGTGTGTATGAGAGAGAGAGAGAGAGAGAGAGAGAGAGAGAGAGAGAGAGAGAGAGAGAGAGAATATGTGTGTGAGACCAAGCAGGAGCACATGTGAAGGGAGATTAAGCTGTCATAGATATAGAGGGGAATTTGATTGTGTTTAGTGGGAGGCTGAATTGGGAGTTGGGGACCCCAAACCCTGAATGCCCTGGCCCAGCTAGCTGTCTCATCAACTGCCCCACCCCCACCAGGACTGGAGTGTGTAGGCCCCCTTCTGTGTAAATGCTACAAGGTTCCCAGTCATCCTTGCCCTCCTGCCATCATCTGCTGTTTTGCCAAGGACCTATCTTTTATCAGACTCTCCAGGTCCGCATGCCCACAAAGCTTAATGTAATTCTTCTCTTTGAAAGAGGGTGGTAAGGGGCCTCAGATATAGTGGACCATGCATGCCTGACAATCCCTGGAGATCAACTCCTGGTCCTGCTCCCTCCCCTTGGCCTTGGATGACTGCAGGGATGGTAACCTGGCCCTGAAACAGTGTGGAGACTAGGCCTGTGGACTCCAGTGGCTATTGGTTAGCTTTTGCTGAGAAATATGAGAATGACGCAAGGAGAAAAGGGAAGTAGCCATTCCATGGTCACCCATCAGCACTTGGTGCAACTGATGCAAAGGCCAGTGCCTTACATGGGGATGCTGGTTACGCTCTGGCACCTGGATTCCTAGGGGACCACACAGGAGGGGTGCTGCTGTCCTGGGTGTGTAACTTTAATGAAAGAGTGTGATTTCTCTTCTCCCCTCCCCACCCCAGCTGGGCATACTCACCTAGGATCCCTTGGTCAGTGCCTTCTGCCCTCAAGTTAGGGAATGAACAAAGGAGAAGCACCAGCTGCAAAGCCTTAAGGGTGGTATTCAGAAACCCTCCATTCATATGCACAAACGTGGACCATTAGCAGTGTTAACCCTTTAGAGTAGGTATCTTATTGCGGGAAGTTGGGTGTTTTTTGTTTTCTTTTTTCTTTTTTTTTTTTTTTTGGCTTACTCTTTCTGTTTTTTAGCTCTATTTCCTTTGAACTAGAAAGTGACTAACTCTGATTTGATATGCCCCGATTTGATAACCCCAATTTGATATGCTCTTTCTTTTGTCTTTCTTTGGTGTAGGGTTTCTGGGTGTCCCCCCGGGGCCAGATTATGATACTTCTGCTCTGGAGATCTGAGAGTTTGCTAAAGAGTTTAGGTTTTATTTGTCAGTTAGATAAAGCCATCACAAGTTCTTGAGTGATCAGGATGGATTTTAGACAGATCACACTGTGTGCAGTGTATCAAGTGAGCGGAACTTTCTTGGGGAAAAGTGACCCCAGATGGAATGTGCTCAAATAGACGAATGAGTCCTGTCCCCCCCACCCCCCCGCCCCCCGCCATAAAGCAGAAAACTGTAGCTGGAGCAGCACAGGGCACTGTGTCCTACATGCCCATTTCTGTAGTCTCTCTCTAGCCACACCATTGTAAAGGAATAGGGAGAGGGCAGAAGGCCTGCACATGAAGGCAGGGATGGGGATAAATTCCAGGACAAGAGCAGAAGGCCTGGGGTTGGGGGCCTGGGAGTGCTCCCTTTCAGGTGTCTCCAGGTTCAGGAAGCTGGGATTGGGGGGCAGAGGTGTAGAGATTGGGGTCAGTGTACAGGGTAGGGCTGGGTGGCCATGTCTCAGTCCTATTCCATGTAACACAAAAGCCTCTAGGGTTTAGAAGTGCTTACCTCCAAAATTTGGTCTCAATCGGACATCATAATTCGACAGCACCCTGTCCAAAATCTTATGAACCATAGCTTCATTTGCACAATTTTTGCTGAAACAGAGAAGTCATTAGTAAATGCTGGTTGACTTGTGGTAGCCTTGCCAGGGCCTTCCCTGCTCTTCTACATACGCAGACATGTCCAGTCATATGTGTATGCTCTCTCTCCCTCCCCTCCCTCCCTGCAGTGAGTCAGCCAGAAGCACAGCAGTGACGCAGACTCCTCTTTCCCCCTTCCCCTCCCCCCTTTCAGCTTTAATCTTGAGGGTAGGGCGGGAGGACTGGATCCCTGTTACTAGGCAAGACTAGAGTGTGGGGGAGGAGGGGATGCCAGAGGAGAGTGGGCAAGTGGGGGCCCTCAGAAAACTGCATTACTTCAACACCCTAAGGATCCCCACCTTGAGACTGGCCTGGATGCTGCTTTCCGGATTGGTGGGGGTCCTCCTTCCAGGGATACCTGATTGCCCCAGGAAACATCATCTCCCACTCTTAGCCCCCCCCTCCCCCACCGAGCTCAGCCAGTGTTCTCTAGCTCAAAGTCATGTTTCTCCTATGCATACTGGACATTATTTTGGTCATGTTTATGTCAACCCTGTTTTTGTACACCTGTTTTTAAGACTTGGCATATGGCATATGATGCAGGGAGAGAACCTTGTTCATATAGCAGAGATTTATGACCCTTATTGAACCAAACAACTGCAGATTCTTGAGGTTCAGAATCGTCCTCGAAAATATCTATTCTGGAAATAGGTATCTCTCACTAAGCATGTGCTTCCAGCTTGGAGGTGTTTTGGGTGAGCACACGTAAGTGGACCCCGCTTGGTTTTGCAGAGTCTCTGATATGCCCGCCCATTCACCTAGACCTTCAGCAGGGCTCTTGTCCCCAAAAGGGCTTGCGAATGAGAACAGGCCTTGGGCATCACTGTGACTCTTTGACGCATTGCCCCTGCAAATCTGTGTGTGTGCGTGTGTGTGCATGTGTGTTCACTGGCGCAGTCTGGTATGTTGAGTTGAGGGCATTGCAGGGCTGTCTGCTGGAACCTTGCCCAGAACACCCCCACCCCTGACATCTGAAAATATGTTCATTTCTGGTTTTCCATTTAGAAATCATTCCTGATCTTCCTCGAGTACAAAATTCCATTTTGCAACATTCCAAAATGTACACATAAATTATTCTCAAATTAAAGCAATGCATTCCCGCCTGTTTCTGACCACACATTCCCCATGTGCCAACACTCAGGATCTGTGTCCACCACAAATGCACATTTCTGTGTGATCTTCATGTAAGGGCTGACTGTTTAACATCTCTTCAGATACCCACAGACCCAAACAAACTTCAAATCAAACACACAGAAAAACCTCAATCTTCAAATATTTTCATAGGCCACAGGATTATACCATTACAAAACACTCATCAATGGCACTGTCTGGGCTAAGATGAGGGCGAATTAATAATTTTTATCTGCCGCATTGGAAAGAGCCCCTCACCCCTCAACACACACATGCACGCGCACACACCCGCGCTCGTCGCTGGACTCAAACAGGTGTCTCTCCTGTCTGTTTTGTAAATTTCCCATAACCCCATACACCCCTAATTCCACAGGTGCCAAAGAACGTGACTGAATAAAGCTGCCTGGGCCTTTAGTCCTTGGGGATGGTTCGTAAGACCCCGGGATGAGGATGCCCCTCACCCCCCACCCCCCACCCCATGCCTCAGGCTGCCATTTGGCATACCCAGGCGCAGTCAGGCTCCACGGTAACAGGTGGGCTCCATCTCAACTGGCTGTCCCTACCCCCACCCCATTCCTACCAGGGGTGGGCAGGGAAGGTGCGCATACTAGGCCTCGGCCAGCACCGGTCCCCAGTCCCACCCCCGTAGCCCGCTCCGTCCAAGAGGCCCGAGGCCGAGGCCGTCTGCCCTCTCCTGTCCCCGCGGTGCCCAGGCTGGCGTCACTCACCAGTTGAAGAGGTCCAGGACGACTTCGGGCATGGTGGAGGAGAACTCGAAATGGAATTTTGGGGTGGGACTGGGGTCATAGCTCTCTGCGAGCCAGGTTCTGATGAGCAGCAGGAGCGCGGCGGCTCGCAGCATGCCTCGGATGCCCATGGCTGCAGCGCTCTGGGGACCGGAGGGCGGGTGGGGGGGGACTGCTGCGGACAGCTGGAGAAAGGGATGGGCCTGGGGCAGGGAGCGGGTCAGTATGGGGCGCAGCGGGGCGGGATCGCTAGATCCTCCGCAGAATCCTCTCTAAGGAGAGAGCTCTAGGGCCTAGCGTGCAGGGAGCACGGGAGTCGGTCTGGAGCCCGGAGCCTGGAGCCCAGGAGAAGCAACCACCTAGCAGCTCTCCCAGACTCAGCGCTCCCAGGGCGCGCCTGACCGCTGCGAGGTGCGCTCCGTCTGCGGCCGCTCCAGGCTGCAACTGGGCACCCAGCGCAGAGCGGCTAGCTCCGCCCACTCGACGGCAGCACCGGCCGAGCCAATCAGGCAGGTGCCAGGAGCCGCACAAAAAGGCGCGCGCTCCTGCCTCCGCCCGCAGCCTGCGCGCGGCCAGGCCCCCCGCCCCTTCAGGCCTCTGCAGTCGTCCCCGGGCCAGCTCCAGACACAGACAGGGGCGGGGCCCGGCTAGGGGATCAGGAGGAGGGGCCTGCTGCTGGAGTGATGGGCCTGGGTCCACGCCTGGGCGTCTGGTCCGACAAAGGGCAAAACGTATGTTTCTCTGGGAAGGTCTTGTGCCCAAGACTTTGTATTTTGTGGTGAAGGGAGAGTGACAATTTGTCTGCCATGGCTGTATCTGCATTGTGAAAGATCTGTACATCTTTGGGGATCAGGAGGGTTCCAGATTGCTGGTTATTCCTGGACCAATGAGTCTCCAGTAACCCTGGATGCCTCTCCTCTGGGTGCATTGAACCGGATCACCAAGGGGGTCTTATGACAGGACTCTGGTTATAGCAGGCATGTTCCTTCTTCAGGATAGAAATTTGCCCCAGAACCTCAGGGGTTGCTTGAGGACTCAAATTTCCCAGAGTGCTCCTTATGTTAAGTTTAGGTTCTCAGGGAACTGGAAGAGTTCATCAACTGGGGTCTCCCTGAGACATGAGTCTGCCATAACCAGGGGATGCAAGGAAGGGGAAAAGAAGGGACAAGATCAATGTTTAGGATGGAGACCAGACCACTCCCACTTTCCTGCATTCTGGCCCTGTCATATGGAAAAGCATGACATTTTTACTGGAGGATTCTTATTTCTACCACCTGAAAAACTGCCCTGTGGAACAGAAAGATCTCAGAGAACACAGAATGCCTTTACTCAATACCCTCTGTCCCTCCCATCTTGGGTCCATGACAAAACAAGTTCAAAAAGAAGACTCAAAAGATCCCATAGGCCAGATAGGTAATCAACAGAGATCAGTCATGTCCACCTGCACTGCATCCCCCACATCACACCAATGAGAAGGGTTGCAATCAAATGGATTTCAAGTTCATTCTTGGTTACCTAGGAACATTTACACAGCAACAGTTCTTCCCTTCTACTATTCCTCAGTCTTCATGACATGAGTTGAAATTGTGCCCAGCAAAGCCTCATTTGCCAGGTTCACCAAGGGTTTAACTCTTTACTTTCCCCTCTAAAAAACCTTTTAGAATGAAACCTAGAAAAAAGTGTCTCATAGTTCTCTCCCTTCTTAAGAGCAGAACATTCTCACACCTTCCTTTCCGTTCTCCCTTCTTCCCCTACCATTTCATCAAATGCTTTTTTTTTCCCCTGCATGAACACAGAAGAATAAAAAGGATGGCAGGATCCATATGTCACTGATGATTGCATATAAGAGGAAATCAATCAAGCCCACCCCTATTACTATTAGTCCTGCCCCCATTACCCATGGCTCTGGTCATCCAGATGTCATTGTAGAGACAATCTTTGCTTTAAAAAAATGTAGGGCCATACCAGGTCACTTTGTTCAACCACCTGCATTGTAATATGGGGAAACTGATATCCAGAAAAAGAAAAGGGATTGGCTCAAATTCGCATAGTGGCAGAGGCCCAAACTAGAAACATTGTTTCTGGAATCTTGCTTCCCCAACAGCATGTTTTCAATGAAGTCGGTTTCTACTGGAAATTCAGGCAACTACCAGCAGGTGGGAGTAGATTTGTTTGGATGTGGGATGTTCCCAGCACCAAGAAACCAATTCTGCAGGCAGTTAGTCTGGCTGGTTCCTAATTTGTTAGGGAAAAATAGGCTTGAAGCCCGAAGTTTTGTTCCTATGTGCCCTTGTGACTATAAAGATTGCCAAAAAGTTGTTGATGATGATGAAACTGAAATTCCACAGGACCCTCCCCCATTTCTCTCTCCCTAGAGGTAATGCTTTCTTGAAATTTCTGACTCACCAGACAAACATAGCCCCAAATGCAACAAGAATATGAAAATGCTACTATCATTTGTACTTGTTGAGCTTTTGTCTAGTTCATTTACAAGTCTATCCATAAATACCTGGATTGAATGTGGGATCATGGTGTAGGGGAAAGAGCACTGACCTGGAAGTTAGTCCATCTGTGTTCAGACCCAGCTCTGTCACACAACAGTGAAGGTTCTAGTTTGGCTGTAGTTTGGCAGTAAGAGAAGTGAGAGAAGCAAGACATGAGGGATTAGGCAGTATGTGGCCTGGAGAGCACCACACACTCAGTATACAATAAATATTTATCTCACCAAAAAAACAAGGCAATTCTTTTATTTTAGAAGCAAGATATTAAAGGATTTGTTCAAGGGAATGTCAAAATCAGAGGCATTTATTGAATCTGGAAGAAAGAGTTGTGAAATTTAGCTTTTTTTTTTTTTTGTGGAATCATAGGCAATTGGGACAAAACTCAAAACTAAAGGCTTGAGGTTTCCCTGCCATTTCTGGCTGGGGTCCTAACCACTACCTGTTTGAGTGTCCTAGAAGTAACCAGCTCTTGTGTGGCCTTGTTGTATATTCTGAGGAACCCAAAGTCCTGGTCATGGATTAAAGTGTCCTTGGACAAACTGTATTCTCAAACATCGGAAAATATCCCAACAAGTGAAAAAATTCTCTGTAGGAAGGCTATATCATCTTGGGCCTAGAATAATTTGTAAAATGATTTTTCAATAATATGACAGCATATGGGCAAAGATAACTCCACACATAAGAGAAAAAATATTTTGTATGACAGCCATTAGAAAAGAAGACAACAGGGGCTGGGGTTGTGGCTCAGTGGTAGAGCACTCACCTGGCATGTCTGAGGCCCTGGGTTCGATCCTCAGCACCACATATAAATAAATAAAATAAAGGATTTGTGTCCACTGACAACTAAAATAATAAATAAATTAAAAAAAAAAGAAAAGAAGACAACAGGGGCTGGGGTTGTGGCTCAGCAGTAGGGTGCTTGCCTCGCATGTGCAAGGTTCGATCTGCAGCACCACATAAAAATAAATAAATAAATAAATAAATAAATAAATAAAAGTTATTGTGTGTGACTACAAAAAATATAAAAAAAGAAGACAACAAAACAAACCTACAATGACTTCAGATGTCATGATTGTGTGGCATAGACTACAAAACTATGATTTACTATGTTCCAAAACATAAAAACATAACTTAGAAAATATCTGCATGGAACAGAAAATAATAAAAAGTTATGTAGCAAAATTAAAAAAGAATTGAGAAGGTCTAAAACTAAACAATTTAACAAAGGAACTTGAACATTTAACGGTTGGGTTTAATGAAGGCTAAACACAACTAAAAAGAAAATTATTGAATTAAAAGATGTATTACAATAAATTATCCAGAGTTCTGCCTGGAGAAACAAATTGCATGCAAGAATTAAAAAGGGAGGATAACAGAGACACATTTAATTGACATTCCACGGGGAGTGGAACAAAAAAATGCAGATGATGATGGCTGAAATTTTGAATACACATTTCAAAACCCCCAAAATATATAGGATATATAAATTGAAATCTACTCCTGGGAACATCTTAGTAAGTGCAGAAAACTAGGGACAAGAATAGCATGTTGGTGGTCTAATCAGATATAATGAAATCCTGACTTAGGGCAATAACAGAAGAGGTTGAGAATAGGGGATGGAAGTTAGATCCTGAACTTGGGAATGCTTTTACTCAATTTTCCACAAGGATTATTTTATAAAGATACTATCCATTTCACTACTAGTTGGTAAAATATATTTGTTAAAAGCATACTGGCTAGAGCAACCTCAACACGTAGGATCTCTTTCCAATTGTCATATCTGGAAGCCTATTGTCCTATACGTATGTGTTCCTCTTCTCATGGGCCACAGAGGTGAGTATTCTCCATGGGTATGAAATGCTAGTTGCAGCTGAGCTCTAAGGCTGGGTAAATGTGTTTATATATGGCTTTCTAAGATTAAGCAGAATAAAGGTCCAGAAAATGAACAATTCTATGGCCATATGTACTCACTCATGGCACTTTCTAATGCTGGCCTGGAATAAAATTCCTGAATGATTACATATTTGCTAAAAAAGCAATAGGCTATTGTTTGAGTGAATAAGCTCTTTGCTTGTTATTAGAATTGTTTATTCAAAGACTGAAGGAATGGTCTCCTGTTGGAAGGAATTTTGTTCCATCTGGAAAGTTGCATCAAAATTTCTGTTTGGCTCAAAATCCTTTATGTAGTTATTTGAATTAAGGGCTATTCTTATCTACCCCCAAGGACTCCTCTACCCCAACAGAAAACCTTTTATATAAGAGAGGATTCTGGGAGAGCAGGCAAACCTAAGCCCAAGGCTTTCAGAATGTTGTCTGATAGTGAAGACAGAAACCTACCTTCATTTTAGCAGGTAGTTTGTGACCAATGATTGTGACCAAGTGTCACAAAATGAAGGGATGCTGGAGTGTGTTTGTGTGTGTGTGTGTGTGTGTTTGTATATATGTTGCTGTGAATGGAACCCAGGGCCTCACACATGCTGGGCAAGCTGTCTACCCCTGAGCCCTATTCCCACCTGGGGTGCTGGATTTTTGATTTTGAATGTCCATATTTTCTCTTTACTTTTGCTGGGAGTTCACAGTTTATGTAGGTCACAGTTCCCCACCTCACCCATAGGCTTATAGGAGCCTACATTTTAATTGCTTTGACATCTACTGGTGTTATCTCCCTCTATTACTATGGAAAAGCAGGAACAGGGAGAATGTTCTACTAACTTTAGGGTTATTCTCCCAGGAACAGGTTGTAGGATAGTGCACTAAAAGCACATTTGACTATAAACCTGAAGTTTTAGATAGAAGATTCATCACCAGCTACCTAGGCATGTGTCAAAAACTGAACCTTAGCCCTCTCATCTGAAATATGGAGCTGATAATAATGCCTACTTGTTTATGGAATAATCCAGACAGAAAGCAATCCCTATCCATTCCAACATCCTAGTTCTGGA